TGACGAGTCATTGATTCAGTCTTTTCTTGCACTTCTCACTTGTGAAACTCCCTTCCGGTTCCACGCTTTTCAGCCAACATTAATCCTTAAAAATCTAAATTCAATATCAATCGCTATTTACTGTCCTGATTACTCTTCTTTTGTTCCAGCTCATTAGTAATGTTTCTGTTTCTAATTCTTCAACACACATTAAATTAGTTGAAAATTTCCCACCTATGACTATTCCAGACGACACTTGTATCAGGTTGGGTCATAAATAATTTCAGCTTTTGAACTTGATTCTGTTATTTTTTTTATTAGAGAAAGTTTTTCGCGTTAAAATGTTTTGCAGCGAATGAAAAAGGTAATAATCGGTTGGTGCGAGGTCAAGTGAATGGTGCTGGTAATGATAATGGTAATATTAGCCATTTCCCTATAAGGAAACATTTGTCATTCATTGACTGAGCAGTCAGTACTGCTTTCAGTTGAAATTTATAAAATCTTTCTCTTAAAACATTTTTTTAGGAAAATAGTTTTCTCAAGTCTGGTATCTGTTATCGCTCTTTCCAATATTAATGGGAGTGGGTGGGTGGTGGAGTTCCTTCCTAACCTTATATTTGAAGTGATGTGGAATGTTAACGTCTTGATTATGTTATTACTTACTCTTCTATGGGGTAGAACAGACCAACCGAATTCCCAAATACTATTCAGTGTTATTCTTGCCGTGTGCGGCTTTGTGTTATCACGGAGGATAACAACATCTACCATTTGATCCACTGTGTACGTTGCCATTGCCGTGAAAAACCTAAGGTATGTTAGCGTACTTTATATTTATTCTACCTGCTACTTTCTTCCTGATAACCTTCAAAAATTTAAATGCAACATCAATCGCCATCTTCTGTCTTTTGAATCCCGTTCATCTTTTGTCCTTTCCTCAGTCCTACCTTTTCTCAATCTTCTCTTTCACTTTCACTCATTGTAACCCTCTGCGCACTGTTAGCATTCCCGCCTTGTTTGGTGTGAAATTATAAAAAATACTCTTCTCCGTTAAATACCGATGAGATATTTTTTGTCAAGATGGAAAAAGGGATATTGAAGGTATTTTTTAAAGGCATTAATATTAAATGAATATAAACAAGCCTCAGCTGAAATTCGACCTCGGTTTGTTGATTCCATTTTCCGTCTGTTACCTCGCATCAAACGCCAAAATGGTTGATTATCCGTCATAAATAAAGGAGGATTATTATTGAATCAATTATGATATCACAATTCAATTTGATTAATCAAAAAGTAGTTGCTTATAACATATAACACATAATGCTTAAAGAAATAATTTCAAAGTCGATATTTTAATCATACCCTCCCTATACAAGACAGTAAAGCCACTACGACACAAGGGGTTACTAATTGTGAGGGAATAAGAAAAAAGGGAAACGTTATCAAGAAGAGAGAAGAATAGAAGAGTAGTTAAGAAAACGGTAGATAACGATTGACATTGTATTTAAATTTTTGAAGATCAAAATTAGTTGGAAAGCATAGAGCCGGGAGAGAGTTCCACAAGCGAGAAGTGCGAGGAAAGAAACTGTTAGCATAGAACCTACGGTTACATCTTGCTAATTTAACTGTGAATTGATGAGACATTGCCGCCAATCTAGTCGTGCGCTTGAGTTCATAAAGTCTAGGTACCATATCGAAGAGTTCATACGGACAATTGAAAGCATTTATAGAAAAGGAACAGGGAAGCTACATTACGGCGGTTGGAAAGCGACTGATGCCGAGATGCCCGGTCAGGACCAATAACATTGCAGATTCTTTTGATTAAACATCGTATTAAAATTTTTAATTTTAAATTTTAATTTAATTCAATATTTTTATGAACACCTGAATAATATCATAAATTATAATTTGAATTATATTTATTCTATATTTTCTTTAGATATACGTGTTTTTGTATTTTAACATAGATTCTTTTTATTTTCATATATCAAATCAACATAATTACATTTTATTGGGATTACGGCCATATCACGTTAAAACATCGGTTTCCGTACGATCACCGAAGTTAAACAACGTCAAGCCTGGTCAGCCAGTATCTAGATGGATGACCGCTTGGGAATATCAGGCACTTTGATGTGCGGGTGCTGTAATGGATAATGGCTCGAAATTGTTAATCGGAGAGCCGAGTTCGAATTCCCCTCGGGTTCATTATATTCACTTATGCGCAAATACCCCTGGAAATGTATGAACCCACCTCTTCTCTCCTCAGCTGTGGGTTAATTAGTAAGGCTTGTATCACTTAATCATTATTATCTCGAAAAATTCTTACAATCTAAAAATAATTTCTTGGTTTATATAACCTGCAAAGGGTTGATAAACCATAGAAACGTTAATAAGCATTTTATTTAAACATTTTCCTTTATTTGTTCACGGATATTTGTTTAGAAATGTTTAATGACTGTTAAAAATTTTACAACTTAACCAAAAAAGTTTGTAGCATTGTGACCGCAGTAATGATTTTATCCTTAGATTTGTTCAATTGGTTTGACGATACACGGACGCAATGAAACGTTGATAACAAAATAAAAATATTTAAACATCCAACTGTTTTTCACTAATTACGTCTAATAAGTAAGAAGCATAAACCATTGCGAGAGATATTTTACAATCAGTCAGTTATGTACCATGCGTGATAGTCTCTTAGGCGATCATGTATCGAAAGATACATGACTGACAAGGCAGGTTTTTTTCCCGCAGTAGCTTGCCATTTCTTTCTGCGGTAGACCACTCGCCATCCCAGGCTATAGAACACGGTCTGTCTTGCTATTTATCCATAGATGGGCGGATTTGAAGAGGATTCACACCTTTCCCAAGGGTATTAGCACGTAAGTGAATGTAATGGATTCGACTGGAATTTGAACTCGGCTCTCAATCCGAGCAGCAATCCATTACTCCACCGCGCCTCTTACAATTACAATACTGTTCTGAATTGTATTTTGAAAACCCGCTGTATCTATCAGGTATAAATAGCTGCAAATTGCTACGATGCTACGCGTGTTAATTATTTTTCTAAGCGTCTATAAGCATTTCTTTCGCTTAAGGCAACTCATATGTATTCGCCAATAAAGAACGCGTCTATTAAAAGCTACTATTTACTGGAAAAAAAAAGACTTGTTTTATGGGATTAAAATTCGCGTATTGTGTAGTAATATATAGTTATACTTCGTTTAGCAACATAAAGGCGTCTTGGACGGCAAAAGTAGTTCCAAGAAAGAGACTTGCATTAAGTGCTTCTTTCTTTTTTACTTTCTACAGTCTCTCATATGGCTACCTTGATGATAGATGCAGAATGAACGCAAGTTTGTTTCATTGTAGGTTATTTACAGTTTTGGCTAAGTGACTGGAACAGCAAAGTATCGATAGAGAACTTCGAAGCCCCATCTCAAGTAGTGGAAGTCGAAGATACTGTTTGGAAAGAATACTTATCTCAAACTCAAGCAGTGGATGCTTTACTCACGTAGTCAAACAAATCGTTATCAAAGTGTTGTAGGTCGTGAGTTTTTTTCCTTCTATCAGCCATTTAATTTCAAAATGAGCGGTGGATACTTTATTCATGTAGTAAACTAATCGATATCAAAAGTGTTGTAGGCCGTAAGTCAGGGTTGTCCAACCTTTTTTTCTAATGGGCCATATTAGAAATTTAGGTATATTCAGCGGGCCACAAAAGTACTTTAAAAAGTTCAAAACGTTGTGAATATCAAATTTTAATAACAAATATATATAATTACAAAAAATACTGTATTATTGTCAGTAAAAAAAAAAGAAAAGAAATTGTATATATACAAAATAAAATAAATTCAATGTGATTTTTGACATTTCTTTCCTTTTATAATATTGCCAATATATGCTTTTATGGAACTAGTCTTTATTCTAAGAATGTTAGTTAAATTGGAATCACTCAGTCTATTTTTTTCAGCAGTGTTGATGTTTTTTTATGCACAAAAGAATTGTTCACAGCAGGATGTACTGCCCGACATGCATAACAGTTTTCTAGATAAGCTAATCCTAAATATTTAGCACTGGCTTTTGCCCCACGCACCAGCCGGTGTGTCTCGGCAAAGACCTTTGACCCCTTTCCCCTTTAGTGCTATGGGGAAGTGAACCTACCAGCACAATCCGAGAATAATTTTTTCGACATACAATGAGTAAAGTAAATGTAAATAGGCTTAAAGATTTTACGGTGCAGCGGGCCGCATGAAAATATTAAGTGGGCCGCAATGCGGCTGGCGGGCCGCGGGTTAGACGTCCCTGCCGTAGTCTTTTTTTTATGTGCCTTTTCCTTTCCACCTGGGCAGTGGATACTTTACTCGCGTATTTAAAAATCGTTATCAAAGTGTTGTAGGTCGCCAGTTTTCTTTTATGTGCTGTATTTCCTTCAAGACGTGTGCGATAATGGCTCTTTACGATTTCCTATCCTTTATAGCTTGTAGTAATGTTTGTTTTTTCTTCCTATTCTTCCTACTTCCTGTTCAGCTATTTCTTTACACAATCTTGTTAGGTAAGTTACTTGTTTCTCTCTGAGCGCTTTTCCTTCACTATATCATATGAGTGTTTAATTCTCCAAGCCTTCTTTCCTCGTTATATATTCCAGAAATTTCAACCGTCTCATTCTGATTATAAGCGTCCTTTTTATTTCCACTTTCTTTAACAATTTCTCGTTGCTCACATGTTTCGTCCATGGTGTTCTCAACATCCTCCTGTAGAGTCACATCTCTATTGCTTCAATTTTCCACTTCATCGTCGAGGAAATTGTTCAGTATTCACTGCCATATAGGAGATATACTTAGCAATTCTCCACTGTCATTCACAAAGACTTACATATTGATTTAAATATTTCTTATACGCATCTCTTCACGTTGAAATATTGGTTCCCGTAGGATTACCGAAGTTAAGCAATGTCAAGCCTTCGGTTCATCGATTAACAATCCAGAGTCATTACTCATTACACCAACCGCATATCCAAGATTACAGCGCCTGATATTCCCAAGTGGTCACCCATCTAGATACTGAACAGGCTCGATGTTGCTTAACTTTGGTGATCGTATGGTAACCAGTGTTTCAACGTAGTGTTACCGTAAGTTTCATTTTTGTCAGGGGGCAGTAATCCGGCAATATGGAAAAAATATGTCAGTTTAAACTGACGCCAGGAGGTAAAAGAAAAAAAAAACGGTAAAAAATACACTTCAAATCTTGGACCACACATGGCGATTACATCGAAGTTGATGTGGAATAATTAGGAATTTCCATTTCTCAGTTTTGTCTTATCTTTAATTTGCGTAGTTTTGAAAATTTGTTTTGATGAGTAAGCAAGCAAGTAACAGTTTTATCGACGTCCTTTGGCGAAAACGTTTCAGAATAACTAACGTTGCCGCTTGCAAGAGAAAAATATCTTAGCTTTAATGTGCATCTAGGCTGTTTACAATCATTTGCGTTATCTTCGCGCATTTAGAGTGGCGAAGGAAGAGAAATAGGAACATAATTTGTATATTATACAAACGACCTGTAGTAATAGTTGTGTCAATGAATCTTTTCTAGCACTCATTCACTGAATTGCTGTGTGCGCTATCAAAGATACTAAGTGTTAATCGTTAATAAATTTCACTGTAAAGTAGAGAAGATTACAGGACTAAACGCTGAATTGTTATCACTTAATGTTAATATGCTAAAACATATACATAATGACCGGTTATTTGTTTTCCGAGCACCCCCGTCTGCTAGAACGGTTAGCTAGTCCCATGCTCAGGCTTAACTTTATTTGTTCAAGACACACAGAACCAACATATCGTTTATACTGTAACTAATCTGAGCGAATCTCAGTTACAGTTTCTGTGAGAGAACGTATTATTTAGCATGATCAGCAGTTTGAACAAGGTCAGTACACTCAAAACCTCGGTCACGGTGACTTGTGACTTTGTGCTAGCACAACCATCGACGACTTCCGAACAGTTCCGTCTACCCGATATTCAATCAACCCGGGATGTGGTTTTCTGACATTTTCCAAAGGTTACCGCATGCTGGGATCAACGATAACATCAAGAAGTCATTTTCCTCTAAAATCAACCGTGATGAGATTCGAACCAAAGTCTTACGGTCAGAAAGCGAGCGTTCTAACCATTCACATAAAGCATATATATATTTACATTACATATAAACATTTCTCTCGTTCGTTGGTTGAACTCGTTGGAAGAAAGGGTATTTGACGGTCGCAGCTGCTGCTATATTGCTAAGCTCTTCGTAATGAATAGAGCACTCTGGCAGTTGATAATGCTTATATCACGTATATAATGCGTTAAAAATTCCCTTTCTCTGTAGCGTGCGCTGATAGCTTAGGCAAGATCTCCGACTAATGTCAAATTGGTCAAGTTTCGATCCCGTGTGTCTAGCCAAACTGAAGAGCCGTGGTACAGCGAAATAATCTGTGCACGTTAGTTTAAATGACTATATATTTATATTTATATAGTCATCCACAGATACATATAGTAATACACATACACGCACACACCTATATATCTCATTTCGTATAAATCATTAAGTGATGAAAATTATACATTTCTAAAGATATATTGATATGCATAAAATACGTATATATATATATATATATATATATATATATATATATATATATATATATATATATATATATATATAAAAAAGGTTTGTCACTTATTTGATTGATGTAACGTTCAACATCCTGACTCTAAAGTTTCGTAGGCGGAACCGTACGCGTTACCGAAGGTTTAAAATGAGTTATATGCTATATATATATATATATATATATATATATATATATATATATTAAAAAATACATATATATATATGTATTTTTAAGCATATCAGTATATTTTAGAAATGTACATTTTTTTTATCATTTGTCTACGGTCTTGATATATATATATATATATATATATATATATATATATATATATATATATATATATTAACAAACGTACACACACACACATATATATATATATATGTATGCGTATTTTTATATTTTTTATGCATGTCAGTGTATCTTTATAAATGCATTTCATAAATGTATATTTTTCATTTTCATCATCTTGCTACGGGCTTAATGATTTATATGTTTGAAGTCTGCACAGCCTGATATTTCTACAGTTAGGAGTTTCGGGGAAATAAATGAGCTTCAATCCGATCGTTTGTTCACCATAACATTTAGATAGTAGTGTCTTAACGTGTATTTTGTTTCTTATTGCTGATACTGTAGTAATGAAACATTTGTTTTCTGTGATTAATGCTTAATGGTAATAGTAATGATCCGTTTCCTTATAAGGAAACATTAGGCATTCATTTACCGTGTAGCCTTTGCTGCTTTCGTTTGAAATTTATAAAATCTTTCTCTTGAAACAATTTTTCAGGAAAATAGGTTTCTCAAGTCCAGTGACTTTTATATCACTTTTTGATGGGGCATTTCCTTCCTAGCTCTTTGTTTCAAGTAGTGTAGAATGTCATCATCTCGATTACGGCATCATTTTCTCTACGAGTTACATGTGCTATCCATTTAATTGTTGCGGTTCTTGAAAGTTCTCGAGTGATATGGTTCCTGTTATTTGGTGCAGTTCTTTGTGATTCTGTAGCGCCAGTGCATGAGATTTGAAGAAGAATTTTTCTCTCTAAGATCTACCGAATTCATTCGTCTAAAGCCATTTTAATCATTGATCTGAGAAAGTGGTTGTGTAAAGCTGGTCGTTTAGATATTTCTGAACCGGTTGAGCACCATGCATGACATCCGTATGAAAGTCTCGACCTGACAAGATTATTTAAGAACATGACTCGAGTTTTTAGTTTAATGTTTTGGTTTTGTAGCACATTGCGGTATTGGGCGAAACTAACTCTACCGTAATTTTTTCTCCTATACTAAATTTGTCGGGTTAAATCATCGATGGTTAATTTTTTTTTCTTTCCCAGGACCTCCTTTCTGATATATGCGCGGGATGGTGTCTCCTTTCCATATTAAAATTGCACTGGTAAATGGAGCAGATTTAATGCCGTTTATGTTTTGTTGTATTATATCAGCTCCACTCACTGGAAGAAAGCTGTGGCGGGGACAACCAAGTGGCAGTCACCATGCCGAATCACTGAAGTTGCCGGATTTGGCTACGCCGGATTTTGCTCCTTACACTTATTGCCAATATCATCAATTGAAAAAAAAAAAATTCATCGTCCACAAGGCCGCGAAGACGCTTTTGAACTTTATCAAGACTGCCCAGTCTTTACTTTCATGTCTTGATAAAGTTCAAAACATTTACGCGGCCTTGTGGGTAGTGAATCATTTTCCACGGTACAACCCTTTTCTCACAGACAAAACGTTATAAGCCTCTCGCTGCTCTATCGCTATTTCCATGGAAAATGTTCAGGTGAGCTACGTCCCCAAGTTCTACAAATCCTAACCCTCACAGCTAAAACCAGCCACACCGCGTACACTGAAGCGAACCACTCTCATTACCTTCGTAATCCATTTGTAAAAAGGAAGTTTCACTCAAACAGCTGCTTCCCACGAACCCACTACTTTGTGGACCCCCCCACCCCAGAGGGTCCTTTCTTGACCATTACAATCTTAACCTGTTCAATATAGAGTTAACCCTTATTTTTCTCGCTAATCATTATAAACTACACCACTTACCCATTACTTTTACTGCTCACACAACAATCTCCTTCATTAAGACTCCATCTCGAGTGGCTCTTGGGCTTTATATAGGGTGAACATTAGAAAAAAAAAGAAGATAAACAAATGCGTATATAAAATCCATTATATGTGTTGAAAGGGTTAAATTGTTTTGTTAAAATTTTAGTGCATCTTCCATGATGCCCCTGAATAGTGGTTCCTTGAAAATTTACAGTGCCTCGAAGTGGTTGGGAATCACTGGGTCACATGATATTTGCAGTCGGAAGTCATTCTTGACGTGACCTGGATGTTATGTATAATGACTTCAAACCGTCACTCATTAAGTAAAAAGTTTATGAAATGTTTTACGCTTCAAGAATATAAAACATTTGCTAAAGTAAAATAATTATTTTTATGAAAAATATTTAGTAAATGCAAGTCAAAAGTTGATTTTCACGCGATAACTTTCTGGTTCGGAAATAAAAATAAAAAATCTTATAAAATGATATCTACTTTACAACAGAACTGTTAGAAGTGTTTTTTTCACAACTATCCTCGTCTTCCTCATACTACAAATATTATTAGTAATTCATAATATCGTTTTCTCGTTCTTCTTGAGCGATTTTACCTTCGCTACAATAAGCTTATCTCTCAACTTTTTCATTGCCTCTTCCGTTCTTCACTTAAACTACTCTTCACTTTCAAATAGAAGGGATCATTGGAATAATAGTGTCTGGAATATTTAAAAATAAAATAATAATGTTTTGTCCTAGAATGCACTTGGAAAAATGAAATAAAATAAAACTAATAAAATAAGATATGAATAAAAAGAAAAGAAAAAGAAATACATTTTACAATGATGCTAATAATAAAGAACCGGAAATTTTATTACCCTACTTAGTTTCGTCAAATTCCCGTAGATGGCGCTGTTTAAATTCAATAAAAAGACAAACGCTTCCTTTCTCTTTCTCTTTTTCTCCCTCTTGTTCCTAGATGTATTACAGCGTAGATAAAGAAGGTTGCTTTTCCCCGCTCACATCTAAAGTACACCCAAACACGCAACCTTTAACTTCCATGTCTCGCAGCTTAATTTAAGAGGCAGGAGGACGTTTCCTGGATATTCTACAAAAACGGTAACTGGAACAAGGATGTCCCGGGTGGATTTTTCTTTAAAAAAAATAATCGTCCATTCAGTCTATTTAAAACTCAAAATTGATTTATTATTCAGTCTAGCCCAAGAATTCCCACATAAGCCCAGGTTTATAAACTGTTCCTACTGAGAATGTGAAAAAAAGTACTTAATCCTACTCATGCAAGTAGGAAATTTCAACTCAGATGTTGAGCACAGACTAAATATTTTTTAACCGTCGTGTTGTAAATATTTTTGTTGAATAAAAGATTTATTGATTTTATTACTAGTTTTCCTTTCATGACAACTGGAAAAAAATA